AGCTCCAGTCCGAGGTGTCTGACCAGCCCATCACCATCATCCAGCAGCAGGTTGTCATTGATAACCTGAAGCATCAGATCTCCACCCAGGAGGGCAAGCTTCACAACCTGGAAGCTGAGCTTGGTTTTTCCAAGCATGATGCGAGGGACTCTACTAGTCAGCTTGCCAGGCAGGCTGCAAGGATCACTGAGCTTCATGACTTGATCCGACAGCTGAGGAGGGACACCGTGTTTCACCTTACTGCAAGGGACGCACCTGCTAACTCTGGCAGTGGTCCTTGTCGCCTTCCTCGCTCGGCTTCGCCCTCTGGTGCAACACCCGTCCCTGGATCGTCGGCGCAAGCCTTTGGCTCTCTGCCTATTGCTTTGCCGCCGTTCATCCATGGTAAGACCGAGGTTGGGGCATGGCTCGCACTGGCGGACGAGCTACTCAAGGTCCACCATGTGCACGAGGATGCCCGGGTCGTTGCTGCAACTACTGCGCTGGATGATACTACGCGCAAGGTGGTCCATGGGACCAGGCTGCAGGCGGATGTGGACAAGTAGGATTTTGGGTGGGAGAAATTTTCCTCCGCACTCAAGCAAGCTTTCCAGGTCCAGCCGACTCAGCTGGAGTCCGTAGCCGCCGAGAGAAGCTGCAGTGTGGGGACCACACGGTCCAGATGTACGCCCTGGAGTTTGAGGAAATCTAGCGTCTTCAGCAGCCGGCGGAGATTATGAGCGAGAATGAGAAGATCCACTTGTTCTTCAAGGGCCTTCCTGAGCACCTTCAGACTGTCCATATCACTGATGGGTCGGGCGGTTCATGGCAGTCCTATGAGCAAATGAAGCATGTGGTTGGGACCACCGATAAGCATTTCCGTGCTTATGCCAAGGCTTCTCAGCCGCAACAGCTGCCCAAGCCGATTCCTACCCCTGGGGGTCCTTCTAGGCCCCCTGCGTCTCAGTGGAAGGGCAAGAGGCCCTTCACCCAGTAGGGGCAGCAGAATAAGCCTAAGACCAAGAAGGCTAATGAGGGGGGAACAGGTGGTCCTGTCTATTGCTACGAGTGTGGCAAGCCTGGCCACAAGGCTTACGCTTGCCACTACCACAAGGGGGTAAAGTACTCCGGCAAGCCTAAGCCGAATGGCAAGGGCAACAACAGCGGAGCGACGGGTGGCCGCCAGGATTTTGCAAAGCCCAACTAGGGAGTGGGTACCTAGCTGGAGTGGTAGATCGAGAGGATGATGACTTGCTGAAACTTGAGAAACTCGCTGGTTGAAATATCTCTCATTTGTTTTCTTTTTCTTTGAGCTCTTTGTTTGCCTATCGATTGCACCCACTTGAGACCATAACAATTGAAGCATTGAGGGATAAGTTCTCAATCATTTGTTGTGATACTCACGCATTGCCTTCTATAATCGAAGTGGTGGGTCGTTGCATCCAGGAGCACCCTCGTTCCAGCAGTTGGAATGGTGACTCGCAATCCAAATGGCAATTTATTCCACTTGTTTAAGGGCTGGGCAGTTCTGGAAGAATGGGATAAGGGCCACCACGTGTGGTGGACAAAAGCCCATTCATACTGACGAAGTAACCACAAAGTCCGGGTATATTATCTGCCTCTAACCAAACTTGTTGCATGTCCCATTCGACCTCGGCACCAACAAAATCTGTTGTTTGTGGGTCGTATAAATGGCAAACCTGCAAAGGTTCTTGTGGATACTGGAGCAACAGTTTCACTAATTGATGAGAAGTGGACAGATAGCGAAGCAGTCCTACTCAAGGAACCTTCCTTCCCTATCTGACTTGGAGATGATCAAGTCATTCCAAGTAAAGGTTCCACACTAATTAACCTGGCTATCACATGTTATCAGGAGACGATCCAAGTGTACGCCTTACCACTTCTAGCGGGAGTTGATCTTGTTCTTGGAATGGATTGGCTACGACCCAATGAGGTGATCCTCAACTTTCAGGACAATACGTTGTCGTTTCAAAAGGGGGTGGAGACAATCCAATGGGTGGTTCCAACGTGTGAACGAGGGAACGGGAAACCCGAAACAAGTTCACACGACGTAAAGTTTGCGCCGGCCAGTCAATTTAAGGGACACATGAAGGGAATTGACACTCTCTTTATTGTTCAAATTGACTTGGATCTTGCTAGTGCGCAAGTCATTGAGGACTTCCCACCTCAAATGAAGCGATTGGAGGAAGAGTACAAGGAGGTTTTTGAAACCATCCTGGATGGGCTTCCACTGGATCGCGCAGTCGGGCATACCATCCTAGTGGAGCCGGGCAAAGCTCCACCGTTTAGACCTATGTATCGCCTTAGTCCAGCTGAGGCTAAACAACAGATTGAGGAATACCTCAAGAAGGGGTGGATTGAGCCAAGCGCGTCT